GAAATTTTAAACCGACTGTCAAGTGTCAACAGCAGTTGTTTTCAAGATCAAAATGCACCTACCGCACTGACAAATTAATGGTTAAACTAATTATAAAACTCCCACGTCCCCGATCATATATGTCAAAAGTCAAATGAGCTGCCATTAAACGTGTGCTTCAACTGACAAATCCAGCGAAACAAAGCCGAACCCTTGGCTTTGTGCATACATCAACGTAATGGGCGTGTAAAAACTGTCAGGCAGTTTAAACTTTTGCCACCCGGCATATCACGCATACGCGCTGTTTGACTTCCTTCCTCTTCCGCTCGCCAACACGCGTCGCATTAAACTAATAATAACTTTTGCACGCAAAAATGGGTGGTATTTCGCACTCCTCCCATCCCATCGATCTCTGTCAATGTTTGTTTCATTCCGGACAACCGAAAAACTTTTTTGCATATTACACAGAAAAGTAAAAGCGAAAACTTAATCCAAAATACATGGGTAAACACAACATGAGATTATCATAAACTTACTTCAAATTTATTCTTTTATGCGGGTGTGTGTGAACTAAGCCCCGTTAAACGCCTTGAGGATTAAAATATGGCCACATAAACATTATCGTTATTTATTCGCACTCCACTCCTGTATATTTTCGGCTGTGTTTGTTTATCTGCTTGTTTACTTTGTTGTCAACTGTTTCGCCCTGAAAACTAATTAGCAAATTAAAACTTGTAATTTATTTATTTGCGGCATAACTTTGAAGGCATTTGTTTAACTAGATTTTCCGGCAAACCAAATCAAGCCAGGGTCCAGAGAATACCGCCCGAGGTGACTAATAAGACAATTTCGGTTTTCTTTGTATGCAAATACCCTTTGAAGTTTGTGGCAAAAACTTAATGAGTTAAATCAACAGAATTTTTGATAGATAACAAATGTGTGTATCCTGGAATTTAAACCATTTTTGTTTAATTAAGTCCCGTATAAAATTCGCCAACTTTTAAAGAAGAAAATAAAATGTAATTGGCGTATATCTTTAAGAAATTTTAAGAGCCTGTAAATTGTAAGGCCAGAATATAAACATTCATGGTTAAATGCTATTATTATTTATTTATTTAAATATATCATAAAATAAATTTAGAGGACATGCGAAGTGATCCTATAAATATTTAAATTATGCATTCGCAGTATTATAATATTTTGATTTTGGCCTTGTTCAAATCCAATAATACAATCCAATAAATACAAAAAAACACAACACTGTTCTTTTGTTTTATGTGCTTAATATGAAAATTGATCAATCAAAAAGCGAACATTAAATATAATGGAAAGGCAAAGGAGTCCGAAAACGCCACCCAAAAGCAGGATAATTTAGACTCAGGGAAACCCTGCAGCTTTTAGTCGTCAAAGGAAAGGGCCCCACACTTTTTCCCCTCCATCCTGTCATTTTTAATGTGATGCGCTTTGTTGCCTTTCGGAAAATGTAGCTTCCTTTTTTTTTTTGCTCCACAAAAACTACTTTGACTATCTCTGACTTTGCGAGAGAGTCTGCCTTCGTATATCTGTGTGTTTGCCATGGCTGATTTGAACAGCTCTGACATTTGACGCCACTTTGCACACATTTTTCCCTTTTTCCCCCATTTTTATTTATTTTGCTTTGCGGAACAAAAAAGGCAAAAATAGGAACAACAAAAACGAATTCTAAAGCAGCATATAAAATAGAGAAATGTTTACGGGGGGTGTAAAGGGATAGAGAAAAAAAGTAAAAAAAAAAGTAGTGCCAGCTGCCAGTCATTCATGGACTGACATATGGCACACCAGCAGGTGGGCGGTGGTGAGAGGCAGGGGGCGTGGCCGGGCTTGTTAGTGTGCCAGTTATGCGGCCATAAATAGCTGACGGCAGCTTACCTGCCACTGCCCTCCAGCCACGCCCCACGCCCCAACGCCCCCTTTCCGCCTCCAACTGCACGTTAATAGTTTAAAGTGAGCCCTTTTGACTGCCCCTTTGCCAAGTGGTGGGAAAATGGGTGAAAGCAGGGGTGTGCGAAAAAGCTGGCTGATGACTCGGGCGCAGTTCACTTTGCTGCTCAATTTAACACCAACAAAAAGGCAGCCACTTTAACCAAACAGCACAGCTTTTCTACGGGGTACATCAACGGGTTAAAGGAATATGAAAATTTTGAAAGTAAGACCATGAAAACTTATTTAAAATGCATAAATAAAAAAATTTGACCTTTAATTTCTTAGTTATTATTTGTAATTAAAAACTTAAATGTAATTTTTAAAACTTATTTCTTTAAGAATATTGTCAATATAACTTTTTTAGTTTAATTTTAAAACTATAACAAATGTGAAGTGCTTAATTAGTAATTACACTTTCAAATTCCTTATAAAATTAATAATATCTTAAACAATTTTTAAAATAAAGAAAGAAATAGGAAATTAATTTTATCTTGTTATAGATCCCATTGCAATTGGTAAACTGCACTTTTCTATCATGTTTACATTTAGCTTCAGACAGTATTACTAAGTCTATTCGCTGGCAAGGATTTCCGTTTACCTGCCCATATTGCCGGAGTGCCAAGAAATTAAGTCAAGATAGCTCAGAGCGAAAGGAAAAAACACAACAAAATGAAATTTCAACTGCCAGTAATGTTTGTTCATCGTGTTTGCGTGTGTATTTGTATTTATTCAGTATATTGTAGCTACACACATTCGTTGAGGTCCTTGGAGTTTTCTACGTAAACGCTTTTCACTCAACACGCTTTTCCTTCTTTTCGAGGTTCTATTTATACGAGCCTTCCGCTTGGGCTGAAGCCTCCAAAAAAAGAGTGTGTGCGTTTTAGTTTGTTTTTATTTTGCTCATTTCTCATTTTCTTTCATTTTCTGGACCAAAAAAGGGACCGTATTACGTGCTAGAGTTACCTGCTTACTAAATAAAGCAAAGATCTAAATTCTAAATTAGATTCTATTTGTCTTTACCCTTACTTGAGTATGAAAGACCTGAAAGGCGAGAGTTCATTCATTTTTTTCGTTTTACTTTTCAATGAAAAGAATTTTCAAGTTTGACTTGAGCATTCACACGAATGAATGATGTGTGCGAGTGGAGAATGTTAAGAGGCCTTGCCATAAACACACTTCACCGAAAAGGGGTGAAAGCCCGTTGCATTTCGTATTTTCTGTCGAATATTTAATTAGTTTTTCAAAACTTTTCTTTGCCGTCAACTTTTGGCAAAATTCAATTAAGTTACAAGCAAAGCAAACAAAGCCAGAATAGATTAAACAGTTTAACAGATTCTGCAATGCAATTGGCAGTGTTTAGCCCAGTCAAATATCGAGAGTTTGCTCAACACTTTCGCTTGGCTACCAAAAATTGTATTTCCAATTTATGTCATCTTCCAAATAAGTTTAAAAAAAATATAAAGCAAAAGACGTTTCGACTTGGGAAAAGAATAACCAGGACCTTGGTTTGTTTACATAAAGAGTAAAGGATAAATAAATTGCACTTTTACGAAACACTGCCACTATATTATTTTTGGTAAAGATGTGAAAATTGTAAAGCAGCTTTAAAAACGATAAAGACTACAAGGAGTTGAGTGCATTTACTTGAATGCTTTTGCAGCCAAAAGGATTGCCCCAGCAACTGTCGCCTTTCCAATATATATACGCAACGAGCGCCTGCTGGGCATTTTAATTCTGCCTTTCCCGCCCCTCAGCTCTGGTCTTTTATGATGTGTGACTGCCAGACTCGGTTACTTTGCTCTGGCTGTTAAAGAACATTTATTCTTGTTGAAACTATACATTTTATCGCTCTCATATTTACTGGCAAGTTGTGCAAGCTTTTTGTGTTTTTTGTAAAAGCAGATTATTGCTTCCGTCATGTGGGAGACGATACAAAAACAAGGCAAAGGACATTCCATCTGAGGCTCTCTTGGGAAAATCGAATGTTTAAAACACTTTGGTGGTTACGTTGACAAAAAAATGCTTCTTGAAAATATTCAGACGGTGGGATGCATCTTTGAACTGGAATTTCATTATTTAGGAAAACTTAAGAGCATCAGAGGATTCCTGTGGTGCTGGACCGACTTTTGGGCAGATTTTATATTTTTCGGAAAACAATTGTCAAGCTTACCAAAGTTTATAAACTTTCTCTGGGGGGATCGCAAAAATCCACGCTTATTTGTGAAGTGCAATTCCTTCTGTATTTGCCTTGGGCGCTCCTGCTCGAATAAAACTCATTAACGCACGTTCTCGCTCCAAAAACTAAACTACATAACTATCCAGAAAGTTTTGTTTGGCAAGACATTAGCAGGAAATAAGCAAATAAAGCGAGGCAAACAAACGTTGCTGCATTTTCGGAAGGGCGGGGCGGAAAACCTTCAATTCGCTGTGCACTTTGTGAAAACTTATTTTGCTTTCGACTGGAAAAGGGGGGACACAAACTTTTCACTTTGAGTAGATGGTTTTGAGATTTTTGTTGGAATTTAGTTGCGCAGCATATTCGTACAGTTCGGTCTATTTGAGTAGAGGCTTTGTCTGGCTTAGCAAAGGGATAACATGTTAACCATTTACTTAACAGACTGAGACATTTTGTAGTTCAGGATTGCACTAAAAAATAACTACATATAATAAATTTGTTAAAATATGTGGAAAGGAATTTAATATTTAATTTAAACTAATATTTCTGATAATTCTTAAAATAAACTGATCTTTTTTGCTTTAATATATCTATAGTTTTCATAAAATCGAAAAACATCTTAAATCTGACGGTGTATAAAAATATGGGGGTTATGTTTGGGGAATTTTCCTCTTTTATGCCTTCCACGTTTCGAACATAAACGAATAAGTTTACGACTTTCTCGACCGCAAAGGAGGCACGCGCGCAATTTGTCAATCAATAAATTTGCCATAATTAATGCTGCTTATTGGCATTTCATACACTAAGAGCATGCAACCAACCAACCTATTTACATAGTACGAGTATCTATATCATGGCTTGCCTTCTTTTTTCTCATTTGCAGTTACAAAATTTGTACGCATTGGTATTGCCGACAAAAACGATTCACCGCCATATTTCGATAGATTTCTGTACGAGACTGAAATCGATGAGAATGCCGATTTGCAGAGCACAGTCCTTACTGTCAACGCCAAGGATCACAATGAGTGTGAGTAACATCCCAAGCACCAGACATAAACAATAAACCATCCCTTCATCTAGTTTAATGTGATTTTGTCCCTCTATTAAATTGGATTTCTGCTCGAGCCAAGGATATTCGTACTTAATCGCCCGAGCAAAAGAATATATATTGCATAAATTGCCAATTGATTTAATTAAGTGTGTCTTTAATTGTCAAGGGGGTGCGCATGTGTTCAAGTCATGCACAAAGATTTGCATTTGGAAGATATTAGGATGTAGACAGCTGCCCCAGGGATTGAATCCTTGAAGAAAGTCATTGAGCTTTAACTTAATATATGTGCAAGAATTGTTTGGACCATTAGGCACAAATAACTAGTTATTTATTCTAAACATAGTAATTTTAAATCGCAACGTAATATCTATCTACTAATTTGTGAGCATTATTTGATAATTTTACAACCTTCTAATATGTATTATATTTACTCAATTAATAATGTTAAAATTGTTTCGTGAATAATAAAAAATACCTTAAACTAGAAACAATTAAGTGGACCTTTTTTGTCTAGCTTTCATTTAATAGTTTAGTATATATTGACATACTGTGTGTATGTGGATTTTATCACACAAATTCAAGCAATTAAATTACTTTGTGAACTGTGAAATATTGAACAAAGGATTTTCAAACCAATACTTACAAATGACTCAACAAATCATAAAAGAAACTGAAATAAATTAAGCAAGAAATTCTTATGTAAACAATATGCTCTGTACTGTATGCATTGATAGCTTAGATCCGGAATTGATTTACCTTCTCACTTTGTCAACTGACGTAAAAGCAATAACATAGTCATCGGAAAATAATTACTTGCTTGATTTTTGCCAAATCATGCGACAACGACATTATCAGTCAGTTTGAGTCATGAACTCTACGACTTCCTTCCAAAAAACACAAAAAATATATATGAAAAAATACATGTACGACGTAATCAACATTTAGAAAAAACCAATTTAGCAATTTCCTTTATGGGGCCACAGCAAATTTATGCATAAATATTAAAACAGCGTTTCAGAATGTTTTTTCCTACCACTTTGTCATAAAAGACATTTACAACATTTATTTATTTTAATATTTCGCAATGTATGTATGGTTGTGTGCGGCCATTGTCAAAAATTATTAGGCATTGGCCATGTACCGCAAATATTTACGAAATATTAACAAATACAGGCTCACTGTAGGCAAAGATACACAACAGAAGATACAGCTCGTAGTCATGCATAAATCCATAAAATCAAAAGACAAACACAAATGGAGAGCAAGTGAGCATCTAATATGCGTATTTGTATATCTGTCTATTGATTCCCATGCGGAAATTATTATTGTTAATACGGTGAGAGAAGGGAAAAGTTCCTCAGCGTCTGCGGCAGATACGATTTGCAGCACGAAAAACATTCAAAATCTCATTGAAAGCGTTTAACAACTTTTTCCCAACCGATGGGAGCGCCAAACTTGTGGGTAGAACTTTGTCTTTTCTTGGCGCAGTCTCCCCAACAGCAACAGCTCGCAAAGGACATCCGAGAAGACTCTGAGTCCTTGTTGTCGCCGGCGCGACGACAGCGAAAAAAGCATTAACCCGAATTGGAAAAAAGCAGAGCAACTCGTACAACAATGAGACAGTGCTACAAATCCATGTATTGCATAAAACTTCTACAATTGATCATTTTAAATCATTAAAATACAAATATTTATATCTGATTAAAAATAGATATTTTATATAAAACTGGAAGAAGTGAACTATAATTTTGATTTTTAAACAATAGATTTTTTATCACTATGGACGGCAGTCCATGTTATGACGAAGCGCACAAGGAGACTGTGCAAAGGCGTCTACTATTATATAGCCGCAAAATTGAAAATCTGCTGTGATAGTCCGATTGTTATGAGTAATACACCAAATAAAAGGTATTGCTAAAACTTAAAGGATTGCATACCAAGAGTTTAAGAAAATCAATTGGCTTGGGAGAGAGAGCGGTGAAAGGGTAAAAGTGAAAATTTGGAAATTTGTTGGGGCCGGAGTGTAATAATTTTTCGTCACAAATGTTGATATCAAAACTTTTGTATGTTGAAGGTGCGATCGTCACTAGTTTTTTACCTCGTTAAGAGGTGTTTTTATTTAATTTTTATGAGTTTTGAATAACCGTGAGTACTTAAACCAGATGTAGGCTGTTAAAATTAAATTGTAACATTTTAAACCATGCTAGGAAACTCAAAGAAAACCTCCTAAATGTCTTAGTAAAAATAAAATGTAGCCCAGTGTAATCTCCCTAGAAAAAGGAAAACGGAGACGACAAACGGAAAAATAAATGGGCACACGAAATTTTTGAACTACTCGACGAGGGGAGAGGATTTTAGTTCTATGTGTGAGTCGCATAGAATATGAATTGAAGGCTGAGACTAACGAAACAGGGTCAGGACAAATCTTTTATGCGATTCCCTGCGTTGCCATGTTTGTGTCTACTTTGAAATACGAATGGAGCTGTAAAACTTTTGTGCCATTGCCTGCCACATTGCGAATTTATGAGCGAAAAGATTATTTATTTGAGTTTGCGCGAGTGGTTGCCATGTGTTGGCCAAATGCTGTCACATTCGAAGCAGTTCGAAGAAGTTCTATCCGGCCCCATGCAAACGATGCTCATTTATTTCCTTGGCATCCTTCGCTTTAAGAACTCGTTTTTAAAGACCCACCTAAGAGGTGGTCGGGAAGTAAACAAGGAGTCTCACAACCTTTCGGTGTGTGCCATAAAAACACTTAGCCCGCCACCCCCGTCCTTCAAATAAAAAGCAAGAATGAGCACACAAAGACCTAGAAAGATCAAAAACAAGGGCAAAAAGCAAGAATGTTTTTGCCTCCACTTTTTAAAATGACTTTTCATGCTAAATAAGTACACAGACAACATCACAGATCTGGAGGGCAAGGGGATACTTTTACTGCCTTCGCTGCTCCCATGTGTGCCTGGGTCTCTGGTGTCTGTATATTAATTTATTATCATTATCAGTGATTTAAAAATGGCGTCATGACATCGTAAATCGTAAACGTCATTGTCTAGGACTGGGGACTACTTAACACGACTCGCCTGAGCTACTCCTAATGTCCCTGTTCTTGTTATTGCCTGTGTTTTTAAGACAAACAAAAAACTACCAAGAAACGAGAATAATAATGTTTGGCTAGAGCACATTTTATAGGTTTTCTTAAAGCGATGGGCGGTAAATTGAAGTGAAGAAAAAATTTTAAATAAAAATTATTACGAGGGTTGCTGTAGGAGAGTTCAGTTATTTGTTAAGAACTAAATGCCTTAAGATGGAGCTACCAATTTTCTTTAAGAAATAGCTTTTGAAACCAAAAACAACAGCTGACATTATATAGTAGGCTGAAACACAGTTTCATTGAAGTTCTAACAAATAAGTAGTCCATTCGCTTTTTGAAATAAAAGGGAACAGACCCAAAAAAAAAATATTTTTAACCAGAAAAATATATTTAACGAATCCGGAAGAATGAATTGCATATCTCTGAAGCGCTCACTGGTTTTGGAGGATGATCCGCAAGATACTTTTTCCCCAAAACGAAAACGTATGGAGTGCACGGAGAACAATTTAAAAAAATTACCAGAAATAAATAATCCAGAAGGCACTAATTGTATAGCCGTCAAGACCTTTCTATCTTTGGAGGACAATTCAAGGAATATATTTTCCGCAAAACGAAAACGCAGGCAGTGCAAAAAGGAGGATAAGCATCTAGAGGTTCCAAACAATTTTTTGAAAGGTTTACCTATTCTACTGGATACCGATTCGAGTGATTCGGAAGCAGATTTCCAAACACCTCAGTTCAAAAGGACAAAATTTGTCACTCAACAGTCCAAAAACCTATTCAGCTTTAATGAATTGAAGTCCATTTGCTGCAATATGATGAAGAAAAGCGAGGATTTAATTAGGGAGGAATATGAATCAAGCCTGACCCGAAAAATGGCGGAGCAATATGACACTTTTATAAAGTTTACACACGATCAAATGTTAAAAGAAATTGGTCAAAATGCCAGCTATTTGACTTGATTGTCATTAACTTGTTAATAGATTTTACACTTTTAGAACAGTTGGTTATGAAAATTATTTATGTTAACAAAAAGTTTTAATTCCTTCTTGGGAACAATTTATCTTTTCTAAAAACTGTTTAATTTAAATTAAATTAAAGTCGGTTTTAAGCTGCAACTTTTTAAGTTCAAAACGTACTGTTGGTTTTAAATGTTGACACATTATAATTGGGCTCAAATTAACAATAATTCTAAAGAAGAAATGTCCGTTAAAATCTATAAATCGTGAACAATTTACAATACTAATAAAGGAATCAGCATTACATATTAAAATGCTTTTCGAAACTTTTCGTTCAGCTCTCCATATAATTCCTTAATTGTGCAGAAAGCTGTTAGGGCCCGCCAAATGTGGCCAAGTTTTAATGCCTCAGAACTCCAGCTTCCTGACGTCCTGCTCATCCATTCCCCTCCCATCTTCAGCTAGTCGAGCAGGTTAAGCGATTTACGCGTCGCTAATTTACGCTAATGTTTGCCTTTCACATTTCCGCATAAATGCACAGACAATGTGGCAACATCAGCCCCCTGATTTTCCAAGCATTCTCCCACCCATTTCCACAGACGTGTTTCCCTTCAGACTTGTCCTGGTTGTCACATATGAGAGCATTTCCATATTCCGCCAACGAAGACAACACTTTCGCAGGCTGTTTAAACATGAAATAAGTAAATTATATGGCATCTTGTTGTGCCTGCCATTCTCTTGAAACATTGGGGCCATGTCCTTGTCCTCTCTCTCGTGGGTGAAAAATGTTTTTTAATGAACTTAATTATTTTAGGTGCCTCCTTGGCTGCTGTTTTTTGCCTTTTTGATTTTGTGTATGCTTTTTTGAGCTTGAAGAATTTGGGTTGGTTCCCATTTGATATTGAAAGCAAAGTTGTTGAAAGTTTTGTATGCCTCTAAGAAGTGTGGATCTGAGATGACATATAAGACAATAATTAAAGATAATATTATGATATAAGGAATTTATTTTTCTTTATTTAAAAAAAATATATATATAAATAAATATTAAATAAATAAACTTATAGAGCCCATAAATAAAAATAAAATTCTTTTTAAATATAAGAAAAGAAAAAAAGGAACAATGACCATTATCTCTTTTGAGTGGACATCTTTTTCAGCTTCTTTTTAATACTTAATGGAGTAAAATTGGATTAATTTCAATTACGTATACGCCGGATGCGCTGTTGCTCTTAATAACCTAATTGTATTATCCCTTTGAGTTACATTACATCCCAGTGGCGGATCCAGGATTTTTTTGTGGGGGGTGATATCAGAACAATTATTTTGTTGCATACTTTTTGTATTTCAAAATTTCTTTCATTTTTCACCCGAGTGGGGGGTGATATATCACCCATATCACCCCCCGTGGATCCGCGCATGTTACATCCTTTTTAACATCGTACTCTCATTGCCTCTTTGCAGCGACGAATATTCGATACCAGATCACAGGCGGTAACATAGGCAATGCCTTCGCCGTACAAAACACCACCGGTGTCATTTACGTGGCAAGTCCACTCGACTACGAAACGCGGCCAAGGGTAAGTAGTCGACTGCTCAGGGACTGTCTACAACTGCTGACAGGCTTATTTCAGCTGAGTTACTAGTCTAAACTGCGAGAAAAATTATTTTTATTGTTTTATAGAATCTAATATTTAATTTTATAAAGTTTTATAAAATATGCAAAAATAAATAAAGCAAATATTTTTATGTTATACGGATTTTTAAGAATTTACCAATACCCAGACCCAGAAATCGAAATCTTTTTAAATTAATTATTTATACCTTCTAGTTTCTTCTTTTGTATTCACTTGTCTACAAGTTGATGCACATTTTTCTTAGTCCCATTTTTTAGCTTGGTTCTAACTTTCGGTTGCATGCATAATTTATATATTTTTCTGCTTTGGTGATGAACAACAAAAAAAGGGAAATATGTAAAACTATGCAAAACTTTTCGGGGGGTTGGCAAAACTTTCGACCAGGCAAGCCGAGGCGTATAAAAAAAATTAATCCGAAAAAAGGAAAATTCGCTTACATGCAGAAAGCATTTCCATCTCAGAGAACTGGAGGGGTACCGGGGATATATGTACGTATAGACAGCTACAGCTGTCGTTACATTTCCCAATGCGCATTTTTAGCGTGATTGCTAACGCACCCATCTATGACTTTGAAAAAAATCATACAAGAATTAATTTACAAATTGTACTACTTTGGTTAAAGAAATAAATTCAAGGTTATTCATTTCTTCTACAACTAGCAAATAACATAATATGATCCTCCACAAATTAATAAATATAGGTTGATCGCTTCTATTATTATTAATTTATGACCAATTTATTTATTTATTTGCCAACACTTTTGTAGAACCTAAATTAATTTCACAAAGTGCGTATGAAAAATGTAATGTACAATTTTTATTCTTTTATTATTTAAGTCTCTTACAATTTATTAGCACCCTAGATACATACATATATTTACCTAGCCTTTTGAAATACAATTTTTCTGCGTGCAAGGCAGACATCCGTGTAGAAATCCACCAACATCCTACATCGCGTAGTCATCACCTATACGCAACTTGTTTTGGCACCCCCACAGGACTGGAAATCCGTGTAGCTGTCAATATCCAGCCATGCAACAAGCAGTGCCAGTGCCACAACGGCCAAAACAACAAGCCACAGCACCCGGAACATGTGTTGCCAATTTCGTATTTCTGCTAACTTTTTTCCACTTTGTTTTGTTCTACCCGTTGAAAAAAGTTTCACTGACCATTCATGCGAATTTGGCTTTTGTTGTTCAAATTGCAACTCGACAGCCTCGTCGGCATCAGGCACATTAAAAACGTCGGGCAGGAATAAATTTCTTTTGCTGATGGCATTGTCTATTTTTTCGTTTCTCGAAAATTTCCGTTGGAAAGATCCATAAATGTATTTTTAACTTTTAAAACGCTTTTGGTAAAAAGTTTTTTTTTTATACACTTTGCTGCATTAGTAGTGTTTGGGACAGTTAAAACCTATTTTATACAATTGAATAATTTAGTTATCTGGTTTGACGTGTGACGTGCTTATTGTGTTTAAAATTATTTATATGATATTATTTTTTTACAGTACGAACTGCGCTTGGAGGCAACACGAAATCGGAAAAATAATTACACCACCGTTGTGATCAACGTTCGCGATGTCAACGATAATCCACCGGTATTCGATCGTCAAACATATCGCACACAAATCACTGAGGAAGACGATCGCAATTTGCCCAAACGCATACTGCAGGTTTGTTTTCAGTTTTTAAGAACTGTTGCCGAATTTTCAGGACAACATTTATCGCCTTATTGACTTTGCACAATTTAAATATTGATACCAGCAGCGGCGGGAACAGCCGAAAAATAAAAAAACACGAGCCAAAAACAATACACACAACACACGTAATTTGCATATAAAGTCAAAAACTTAACAATAAAAACGAGAGAAAGGCAGGCCGAAAGCAAACAACAGGCTGGGAAACTTAAGTGCCGATTGGCAAAAAAACGGATAAAATTGGGGAAAAGCAAGAAAAAAGTCGGGAGAAAAGTTCTTCACTCGCGTGGAGCAATTCAGCCGTAAATATAAATAAATACTCATTCATTAATAATAATGCGATAGTTTCGCAACGGCAGTAAAATGCGTACACATACGCATATACATCAACTCCATGAGTACGCATTCCGTCATGCATATATGTAGGGAAAAGCACTCATATATATATTTATATATCTGTACAAGCGACTTTTATTTATGCCATTATTTACCAACATAAAGGCCAATGTAAGGAAAGCCAAGTTTATGACCACATAAACATTTGAATACTCTTTAAATGATACTTTATGGAAACTGTCATTTATTAATGAACAGTTAGGGATATGGGGAAAAACAAGAATCTTGCGCGATCATTAGATTTAAAAAAATTTATAACAGGCATTGACATAAAATCAAGGATATGAAATTTAATTTGCGTCCCAAATAATACCCCTTTTCATTACCATTTCTTTTTAATAACTTATTTATAAGAATCATACATATAAAATTTGAATTAATAGATAAAAGTTACATTCATAGACCTCAAATTATTTCCAAGAGCATTCCACTAGTGCCCACTTGCTTCATGTTTTTTTAACATTAAATACAAATTAAAATTGCACAGCTCAGCGGGCGTAGACCCAACCAATAAACAAGAAACGATGAAACAACAAGGCGAATTTTTAATTACACATTTATGGCGGGCCAAAGTGCGACCGGAGGAGCATTGTCACGGCGGGTCCCATTATGCCGATATATTTTTTTAATATTTACGGTGCATTTGTGGAGATACAAGGATACAAGGTGAATGGAATGCGCTTGCTGTCGCCGACACTTTTGGACCCAAATTGATTTCTGCGCTTGGAAAATGGAATATAAATATTTTTTTACATAAAGCGCTGCACTTGCGAGGGTTCTGTGGGTGGGTTTTGGTGGCGAAGGCATTTAAGTGATGGCCATAAATGTAGGGAGCGGGCATATATGTATGTGTATCCTGGCGAAAGGACAATGGCATACGCGGCTCGAAGGCTCGCTTCCGCCTCCAAAATGGGCGGGGCAATAATAATGGGCACAATGATGGCACGTAGACAACTCTTTTGTCATATCAAATTGTGTTCAACATTTAACGTAAATTGTCGCATTGTGAATGTGCAGCGGGAATCGGATGGCTGCTGAAAATGGGGTGGGTGGAAATGGCAGGCACTTAACACGTGACGATGATTTAATGGACCAAGGACCCAGAGGATATTGCTACAAGTTTGCTTGTAATTGTCAACTGAAACTCGCTTTTCTTTCATTATAATAGAAAATGGGATGCACACATGCAGGACACATCCATAACTCGTTTTGTTTCCACACTGCCAGTCCACACAGATACTTCACTTTGCACAGGATAAAAAGGATACAAAGAGAGAGATGAGATACAAACTGAACAAGGCAATTATTGCTTTTAATTGACACGACAACTGTTTGAAGGCTCTACCGTTACGTTGTTATCTCCATTACTAAAAAGAGATTTGCATTTTCTGCACAGTAATAAAAAATGACAAAAAAATGGTTTTCGTTCTAGTAACTATTTATTTTGATTTTTTGTTTAAACTTGAAGTAAAATAATATGCAGTTTTTTTAAAATAAATATTGCAATATATATTGATATTTACATTACAATTGTAATTTTTTTTTATGTTGCTGGTTGTTAAGAAGCGATTACAAAAGCTTAAAAGTTTGCATTCAGCGCATAAGCCCTAAAGGAAAATGTAATCACTCACTTATTATTCCCATTACTTCAAAGAGGCAAAAATATTTAAATCCCTGTAGCTATTTCTAAATATATTTCAAGTATTTTTAAGTTGTTGCAAATTAAGAGCACTCCTCGATAGTATTCAAATTATTTGATTTTACTCACTTGCCCAGCCCATCATGGAATCAAATCAAACTCAATAACAATTTTGACTATAATCAAATATTTCAAGAAAATGCCCCTAAATGCTGATTTAATTTACCAATCGCAAACCGAAAATGAAACAAAATAAAAATAAAACAATAAAACAAAAGAAAAACCGAAATCCGATTGAATAATTACATAAATCTCTGTAATATTAGCATTTCTTTCCTTTATTTTTTTGCTTTTGTTTGAAAATATTTTGTGGTAAACGAGAGAAGGCCGAAATAAAATGTGCAAAAATAGAAGAGCAAAAAAATCGAAGCATAAATTTACAAGCAATCTGGCGGGCAAAAGGAGAAATTCCAGCCACGCCCACCGTCCAGATTTTTCAGCCCTCCGTATTTTCCCCCATTTCGACATTCACGTTGCCCTTTATTGGACATTTAAAGCATTTGGCTCATTTGCATATTTGATTTATAGCCTCCAATATTGTAAGCAGCGTCCAGTTTTCCCCTGAACCTGAATCTTTATCCCCACCGTATAATGCATTTTTTGTTACCAACCGCATTTCGTTCTCTTCTCTATTTCGTTGCAGGTCACAGCCACCGACGGCGATGTAGATAGACCAATAAATATTGTATATTTCCTGACTGGCCAGGGCATCGACCCTGACAATCCAGCGAATAGTAAATTTGATATAAATCGCACCACGGGCGACATTTTTGTACTCAAGGTAAGTGGGCGCCCGTCCACCTTTTAGCGTTTTTAAACAGATTCCATTTTTGAGTCCCCTCGTAAAACGAGCGTAATGAAAGCCAGTTAAAATTTGGCGACGGCCCCTTAAAAGCAAACCGTGCAAATGGCGCGCAATTCGAAAAAAGGTGGAGCAAAAACAGGAAAATAACTTTTTCGTTTGTGATCCAGCTGGGGGTACTCTATAAGCCCCGGGGGGGCTATTTTTTGACAGGGGGCTTTCGCTTTGGCCGTTTACAATTGAGCCACAGTTTATGCTCTCACAATGGCGCAGTTTATATTGTGTGACGAGAGAACTGTTAAAAAAATGAGAGGGTCGCAGTGATATGGAAATGGGTCTACCCTGAATTTATGCTGGTGGAATGACCTTGTAAACTTTGCTGTCAAAAAGAGAGAGTTTTGACTGAGTTTAGGAAAACGGCAAATATTTAATTGCCATTAAAAATGTACTTTTATGCTAATAAAAACAGTGATAAATGAAAGCTAGTTAAATTATTTTTAAAAATGTTTGTAATAACAAGTTTTTACTATAATTTATTATTTTCTAATGGTAATATTTATTTTTAAACATATACAATCTTATGCGGCAACGTAAATTTTGATATTTAATTTTTTAGCACGCTAGAGTCTATTTAATTTAGTTAAAAAGGACCCTAACTAACCAAGTAGAATTTCTCAAAAAACGTTGAGCGGGTTAACATCCCTTTTAACTTTTGTCACTGCCGACACTCTTTTCATAACCGGAAGAGCTTAAAAACGTGTTCAATATTTAACACTTTTTGTCGGCTTCTGATTGCTGTCATCCCTTTCTACCCTCAATTGCGCGACTTTTGTAAATTGTAAAGCTTTCCACGCGGTTCGGTGGCGTATGATTAATTTAAAACTGTGTCAAACCGCACACACTCTCACAAATGACACACCCATTGGCACATGGACCAACAAAAAATAATGTCATTTAGATGCAAAAAACTGCCACCGTTGGTTGTCAGATACATAGACTCCAATTAATTTCAGACAAAGTCCATAAAAACTAACGAGTCAAAGTGGCACAAAACGAACGAGTGGGAGCTAGTGTTGCTAACTATAGTTAGACAAAGAAGAGCTAACTGGAATAATAGTAACTATCTTGTGGGTGACATTAAATAATTATTTGAGAGGCGGAAAAAAATAGGTTAAAATGATTAAAATTTTTAATACGCATTTCGTTTTCGTTTAAATAATATTATTTTGCCGATTTCTCTCTCTCAGAGATTCTCTGACTTTTAAAAAGAGAGCTTGAAGCAATAGACAACTAAAATTAAATCTATTGCGGCTTAAAAATAATATTTTAGATGGTTTAATTTACTAAAACTGTTTTTGAATGACGAAATAAACCAATTGCTTTATGGAATTTTTTTAATTTAATAATTTGAAGCACACCAAAAATAATTGTCAGCACTATTGGTCATCCCCGAACATTTCAAAGTTCGAGCCTTAAAAACCCCACTCCGATTCGCATTCTGCATAAAATGTTCAAATGTTGCCGCTGGCGGTTTGCTTTATTTGTTTTATTGCCGGCGGATAGGGCAGTTCACTGATGCGATAGGGTTAAGAGTGGGTGAACACGGTGTGGGGTAGTGGGCTGTGGGTGGCTGTGGGCGGGCCAGCGACAGCATGTGGCATTTGTGGTTTTGACGCTCTACAACCGACCACATGTAAATGACGTTCGTCGTTCGTTATTGGTGCGCGGTTGCCTGGCATAAAATTGTGTGTAAAATCAGGCGGGAAAATGGGGTTTGGGAAAAGAGTTCAGCGGGTTCGAGTCGAGAGGATTCTGGGGTCGGGGGCTTCTTCGTTTGGTGGATGCCACTTGGCGTCCGCCTGACGGCATTTAATTTGTAATTGCGATTGCATTACGTGTCACGTGGCAGTGAAACCATTTTTTCCCTGCTTTAATTGAGCGAACTGGGTTTTAAAGTTTATTTGCCGACAGCTGAGTGAACGGCAATCAAATAGGATATCTAGTGGGTTTGAGTAAAAAGTGGAGTAATATAAATGACATCATCTGGGTCATATATGTATACATATATGTATGTAGAACAAAATACTAAACCAAAAAGGAAATCAACAAACAATTAAGTGATTCATTTGTGTAAATTAAAAGGTAAAAAAATGTTTTTTGCTGACCATAAACTATAAGCATTACAAGCTATTCATTAAACTGGGAATTTTCACAGAATCAAATTTAATATCTCCTTTATCCGATGACCTTCTTGACCACTCAAATATTCCCTTAGAAATAGCTCGTGTATGTTTTCCGACTACTCATTTCAGCCAGCCCACACATTTCTTGTATCTTTAGAATAAATACATGACTTTGCTTTCATTTACTTCAATAAGACTACAGAATTAATTCATCGTAAAGGCAAATTGTCCTTCAGACCAACCACAGATACCAACACATTGAATACATTTCGTTAAGGTATATGCATTAGCTGAGCAAGCAATGTTTAAGGGTAATTTGAATAGGGGCCAAAGCCAGGCCAGGACTAAAGGTTGACAGGGCCAACACAGTGGCAAACACAAAAACAAACAAATCCAACGAATACTCGAGGACATTTCAATCGAATGGATGGCTTTTATTTTGTCATTGCCAATGCAATTTCGTGTGGATAACTCATTTAATGAGAAATCTAATAACAGACTTGTGTGTAAGACCACCTACCAACGCAAAGCCATCAAAGCCAGGTTAGAAACAAACAACAAGCGATAGCCAACGGCTCAAGGGTTTCCAGGGTCTCCGCCTCAGACTCAGTTTACCAAGGGGCATAAAATAATTTGCAAACAAACAAACAGCTGCCAAATCAAATCCCCTTTCGACACTCTGAGAAAATGGAAGTGTTCCAGGGATTGTTGATCACTATGGACGGCAGTCCATGTAGTGACGAAGCGCACCAGGAGAGTGTGCGAAGGCAACTACTATATATACACGAAGAAATGAAAATCTACTGTGATGGTCCGATCATAATATTTTCTCATTCTAATATTTTCTCATTCGGCACGCTGCAATAGAAAATGCCTGTAAAGGGAAAAAGGCTGGAATAGTTTGCTAGGGCGGGCCGAATGAGAAAATATTAGAAAGTCTATTTAATGACAAGTGTAATAATTTTTCGTCACAAATGTTGATATCAGAACTTTTGTATGTTGAAGGTGCGGTCGTCACTAGTTTTTTACCTCGTTAAGAGGTGTTTTTATTTGATTATGTTTTCACTAATTTTTTTGACAATCATATTTTGTTAAGCCCAAGGACTTATTTCATTTTATTATAATTATTTCAAAAGGCAAAAAAATGAACAGCAAATTTTTCCTGAAAATATGAAATTTTAATCAGCACCAAAGAAATATTGTTTAAGGTTTCATGACTTTCGTTTATAGTAAATAAAAATGTTAAAATGTTTTTCCGAATGCCATTACGCCTGTTATTTAAGGATTTTAAATACTTTTTTATTCATCCCAAGTGTAAATCATCGGGAAACTATTCTTTGGTCTGTTTACAAACCTAAATTAATTTCAAGCAAATCATTACTCAAAATGGAAAATGTTGTACACATATGTAAGCTTTAATAAATGAATATTTCGTGTCTATATTTGAATCCACAGCCCCTGGACAGAGATCAGCCCAATGGCAGGCCACAGTGGCGGTTCACAGTATTCGCCCAAGACGAGGGCGGCGAGGGCCTGGTGGGCTATGCGGACATCCAGGTTAATCTGAAGGACATCAACGACAATGCGCCGCAGTTTCCGCAGGGCATCTACTTTGGCAACGTCACCGAAAACGGGACAGCCGGCAGTTCGGTGATGACCATGTCCGCCGTCGACTACGACGATCCCAACGAGAGCACCAATGCCAAGCTAATCTACTCGATTGAGAAGAACGTCATCGAGGAGGAGACGGGGGCGCCCATCTTCGAAATCGAACCGGAGACGGGTCTCATCAAAACGGCTGTCTGCTGTCTGGACAGGGAGCGAACGCCCGACTACTCGATCCAGGTGGTTGCGATGGATGGCGGCGGACTCAAAGGTGAGTGTGACGAATACACTTGGGTCGAGGGCCCGAACTCAATCAGCCGGAATGTTTGTCTACGACACGGCTGGCGTGATAATAGCCTTTCCAGGAATTTGCGATGCCCAAAAGACGGCATTTATACCTTGATTCGTTTAAGCTTATCCGATTGCCTAAATATGTCTGAGGTATTAATAGATTTGGCTTTGCAATTACATCTGTTTTTACTAGAAAAACAAGAGAGAACGCTATAGTCGGGTTGGTGTCCCGACTATCTAATACCCGTCACTCAGCTAAAGGGAGTGCGAACGCTGTACTCGGGTTGGTGTCCCGACTAATAATCGTAACTCAGCTAAAGGGAGTGCGAGGGAGATAGATATATAAATTTTGATTGCGTGTAACTTTTTAATGAATGGTCCGATTTGAAAAATGTCTTCTACATTTCGATAGGTATAAATATACACAACAAAATTGCATTTTTACTTTTCGGAAATCTTTAAAGATGTGGGCGCAGGACCCATTTTAAAATCGTTAGTGGGCGATTGTGGGCGTTAGAGGGGGCGTGGCGCTCGGCTAAAATAAACTTGCGCTGCGTAGGAAGCCAAAGAATATGTGTGGGAAATCTCAACCTTCTAGCTTTTGTAGTTGCTGAGATCTCAGCGTTCATACAGACAGACAGACGGACAGACAGACGGACAGACGGACAGACGGACAGACGGACAGACGGACAGACGGACATGGCTAGATCGACTCGGCTGGTGATCCTGATCAAGAATATATATAGTTTATAGGGTCGGAAACGCTTCCTTCTACCTGTTACATACTTTTGCACGAATCTAATATACCCTTTTACTCTACGAGTAACGGGTATAATTAGACGGTAAACAAAGTTTTGCATTTAGGTCTTAACAACTTACTAATAACTATTTATTTATTTGCATAAGATTGTTTAGTATAAACGAAAAGGTACTTATATTTTAAATATATATCCGTTTCGGTTCTTAAAACATATAGAATAAATTAATTTTCTATGACAATGGAACCTTAACTTTTGAAATAAAAAATCAAACCACTTTTAATAACGTTATTGAAGGTTATTGTAAATTTATAAAACTTCCTTAGCATCCCTAAAATTATTTAGACAGACCTTAAACAATTTTCTTCCACATCATAAAAATATATATTTGTCCCTAAATGGCAAAGGAAAATGTAAAATACCCAATTTATATTGAAGACAGCCAATTTATCAAAATTATGGAAATAAGTCAATTTTTCACAAATCATTCACAATATTTCTCCCACTGCATCTGTCTGTAATCGACGCCCATTTGACCCACCCTCCACTCTCTGTTTACTGTCCGATTTCGCAGGCACTGGGACCGCCTCGATTCGCGTCAAGGACCTCAACGACATGCCGCCGCAGTTCACCAAGGACGAGTGGTTCACGGAGGTGGACGAAACGAATGGCACCTACATCCCAGAGACGCCCATTCTCACGGTGACCGTTCAGGACGAGGACGAGACGAACACGTTCCAATACAAGGTGGTGCCGAATAGTGGTTTCGGGGCGGACAAGTTTGCGATGGTGCGGAACGGCGATGGAACGGGCTCGCTGAAAATCATTCAGCCATTGGACTACGAGGATCCGCTACAAAGCAGTGGATTCCGGTTTCGCATCCAGGTCAACGATAAGGGCGACGATGGCCCCAGTGGGAGTGATAAGTATCACGTGGCCTATTCCTGGGTGGTGGTCAAACTGCGAGATATCAACGATAATGTGCCAAAGTTCGATCGGGAGCACATTGAAGTCTCCATTTATGAGGACACGAAAGTGGGAACTGTTCTCGAGCAATTCAAGGCCTCTGATGCCGATCAAGGGGGTCACTCCAAGGTAATTTACAAAATAGTTCGATCCACAAATCGAAGACGACAGTTTGCCATAAGTGACAATGGGGCTGTCAGCATACAAAGACCTTTGGATAGGGAAACCCTGGATCGGCATCACATTCAGATCTTGGCTATCGACGATGGCAGCCCTGCCAGAACGGCCACTGCAACTCTGACCGTGATAGTTAAGGATGTCAATGATAATGCACCGACCTTTGCCCAGGACTACAAGCCAACCCTCCCAGAGAACGTGTCCGGTAAAAAGATTCTGGAGGTGGCTGCCAAAGATGCTGATGATCGACAAAGGGGCAATGGAGGACCCTTCACTTTTCGATTGGATCCCTTGGCCAGCGACGAAATAAGAGCGGGATTCAAAGTGGAATATGATCGCAGTAAGTATAGAATATTATTTCGGTTTAAATTAGTTTAATGAAAATTTAATTTTTTAAAATACAAATGAAATATTTTAATTCCCATTTGAAACAAATTTAAATGAAACCGTTAAATGTTAATCGCAATCGTAATAGGCAACACGTGTACAAAAAACAGCCTAGGGCAAATCGCTTTGAATAATTAATGATGCAAAAAATGTTTAAACGCTCACTAAGCCCAACATCTGTCATATTGGTGCCAAAATAGAAAAAAAGTAATGGGAATTAATCGCCAGCACTTGGAAAAATTATAAAACAAAATGTTGGGCATATTTAATGCATTAGCTTGATTAAAAATGTATTCAATGAGATATGTCGCACCAATTTATACCAATTACGCATCTCATTTAAGTAATTATGCAAATTAATATCAAGCGAATAGGCAAATACATTTTTATTTAAACTCTGCATTTGTTTATAGGCGTATAATTAATTCAGCATTTGAAAATCAATTATTTATTTTGATACCCCAAAGGCGTTTGGGTCAATTCGTTTACTGAAGGGATACTTGAAACCCAAACACGTGCCAGGTTGGCAAAAAATTAAATAAAAAAAAGGAGCAGAGAGCGATAAAAACACATCAATGAGGATGGACCCTAAAACAGAGAGACACACAAATACAAAGGAAAATTGTGCCCTGAAATTCAAACTGGCGTAGCAGAAAAACTGGTCGAGAAAATTGAAAAACTTGCTGTCAATGTCAGCGACAGCATTCAAGTGACACCTCAAATTTTCTTTCATTTGATCGATTTTATTGGGGTGCTCTCGAAAGTTTTCCTTTTTTTAAGGTTTTTGTCCGGGGTTTTTGTTTCAAATAACTCCCAACAATGGCCTCACAAAAAGTGTGGAGCAATTTCCATTTTACAAAAGGGAAGAGCAGAGAAAAATTCGAAAATCAAGATTGAAAGTGTAGTTATCTACCAACCCGAATTATTAGATACACTAAACCCTAACCTCTTAGTATTAATTATACTTTTATTAAAGAAACATTTTTTCAAACTACAAAAGTTAGGTACCGGAAAAACATTTTTTTTTAAAGCAAGCTACGAAAAAATGAAAATTCCAATAATGCTTTTTGTCATTAAATTTTTCCTTGTTATTGTTTGTAAAAATTTAATTTCGCTGGTGTTCTAAAACACTGTATTTTCAAGACACAACTTCTTTTTTTGCATATACCCTGACCTTAGGAAAAGCCCATGAAAGGAAAACACCAAATCGCAATGAAAACAAAAGCCGGCCGGACATGGTCAAATGCGGCAACCGAGATGATGCCTCGAGGCTGAGTTCTGTCCACAGTTCAACCGCTGCTCTGCTCCTCTTATTCCCTGGCACTTTGCAACCAATTTCTCTATCTCTCAGTTGGCTTTTACAGAGTTTTTTTTTTTTTTGGTACTAACTTTGTGGCACAAACAATGCTGATGATGCTGATTGTCTGAAACATAATTCAATCACCATTACTATGCAAACACAGTTTGGTTTAGCGTTTGATTTCGACTTTGATTGTGTGGCGATTGCCTTGAATGAATGAACTGAATTGGATGGAGTGCCGAAGAGCAGAGGGAGACTGGTGAAGTGGTTCGGTTTTGAATTGCAAGTTGTTTGATTTTAGCGTTTTCTGGTTAGTTTGGCCAAATGCAGTGGAGCAAATTCGCACTGAATTGGGATTGGGAAGGCTTACAACTGGAGTTTACAGTTTTCTAATCGATCCCGGGGGGTTTTGAAAGTGGATTTTAGTATTTTAAACTAAATGCGTTAAATATTTATTTTCAGGAGGTGACAATGGAAATGGCGTGGCCATCATCTCATCTCTTCGTCCCTTCGATCGCGAGGTGCAAAAGAGCTATGTCATTCCCATTGAGATCAAGGACAATGGAGCTCCTGCGATGACGGGAACCAGTACCTTGACCGTGACCATCGGGGATGTGAACGATAATAAAATGCAGCCGGGCAGCAAGTCCGTTTTGGTGTATAACTACCAGGGACAGTCGCAGGACACGCAGATAGGAAGGGTCTACGTCAACGATCCGGACGACTGGGATGTTCCGGACAAGAAGTACTACTGGGAGGTCAAGGAGCACCAGAGATTCAAGCTGGACACGGACACGGGAATTCTGACGATGAGGGCGGGAACCAGAAGAGGTCGCTATCAGCTGCGGTTCAAGGTCTACGATCGGGAGCATGGTCAGGAGGATATCCCCGCGAACCTGAGCGTTACGGTGCGCGACATAACGGCAGAGGCCGTTCAACAAGCCGGCTCCATGCGGTTGGCTCACATAACCGATGAGGACTTCGTAAGGACCTGGAACCCGGTTAAGAACCAAGTAGAACCATCGAAATTGGAAAGGTTCCGTAACAAACTCGCCGAATTGCTGTACACAGATCGAGATAACGTGGATGTATTCAGTGTGCAACTGAAGGAAGGTTCTTCCTATCCACTAACCGATGTTCACTTCGCAGCTCGTTCCGCAACCCAGCAGCCGTATTTCAAGGCAGTTCGCCTGAATGGTGTGGTGCAGATGCACCGTGAGGAGATTGAACACGAAGTGGGCCTGAATATCACCATGGTAAACATAAATGAATGCTTGCACGAGGGTACTGGAAAGTGCGGCGCCAGTTCGTGCACCTCCAAGGTGGAGTTGGGTAAAAAACCCTATACGGTTAGTGTAAATCGCACGGCTTTGGTGGGAGTTCGTCTGGATATCAGTGCCCAGTGTGTCTGCCGGGCCAGGAACTTCACCAATCAGGATCACAACTGCCGAACCCACCTCTGTTACAACGGGGGACGGTGTGTGGAGACCCGTAATGGCCCCAAATGTGTGGCCTGTCCGGTGGGCTACAATGGTCCGCGATGCCAGCAGTCGACAAGGAGTTTTCGCGGCAACGGATGGGCCTGGTATCCCCCACTCCAGCTCTGCCAGGAGTCGCATCTCAGCTTGGAGTTCATCACTCGAGTGGCTGATGGGCTTATACTCTATAATGGACCCATTGTCCCACCAAAACCCGAGGAAACCGTGATCAGCGACTTCATAACCATCGAACTAGAGCAGGGCTATCCGCGACTCCTCATCGATTTCGGTTCGGGAACCCTAGAACTGAAGGTCAAGACCAAGAAGACACTGGACGATGGGGTGTGGCATCGCCTGGATGTTTTCTGGGACTCCGAAAATGTGCGAATGGTTGTGGACTTTTGTCGCACTGCCGTGGTCAGCGAAATGGAGGACGGCACTCCGCCGGAATTCGATGACAATGCCTGCCAGGCGAGGGGACAAATTCCGCCCTTTTCGGAGTCGCTGAACCTAAACCAACCCCTGCAATTGGGTGGTCTTTATAGGCAGCACTTCGATCAGAACCTCTACAATTGGCAGTACGCATTCAGCTCCAAGGGCTTCGATGGTTGTATTCGCAATGTCATCCATAATTCCGAGCACTATGACTTGGCTTTTCCCGCTCTGGCCAGGAACAGTTTTCCCGCCTGTCCACAAACCGATGAAGTTTGCCTGAAAACCGAACACACGGCTCGTTGTTGGGAGCACGGAAATTGTGTGGCCAGCTTGGTTCAGGCCAAGTGCCATTGTCAACCGGGCTGGATGGGTCCGGGCTGCAATGTGCCCACCATTCCGACGACCTTCAAGGCCCAGAGTTATGTGAAATTCGCCCTCAGCTTTGAACCGGACCGGTTTTCCACCCAACTGCAGCTGAGATTTCGAACTCGAGAGCAGGGCGGCGAGCTCTTCCGGGTTAGCGATCAACATCACAGGGAGTACGCCATCCTGGAGCTCCGCAGAGGCCACCTTCAGTTCCGCTACAACCTGAATTCCCTGAGGAACGAGGAGCAGCTGCTGACGCTGACGGCAATCGCAGTAAACGATGGCCAGTGGCATGTGATTCGCATCAGTCGATATGGATCGGCGGCCCTAATGGAACTGGATGGCGGGGAGTCGAGGCGGTACAACGAGTCCTTTCACTTCACAGGACACCAGTGGCTGAGCATCGACAAGCAGGAGGGTGTCTATGCGGGCGGCAAGGCCGAGTATACGGGAATCAAGACCTTTGAGGTGCAGTCCGACTTTCAAAGGAGCTGCTTGGACGACATCAGGTGAGGGCTAATGCTGCTTTGATTAGATCCCTTTAGGGCTGCTGTGATGCTCTTAAAAGGAGAGAAACAAGAACTAACTTTTCATAAAAAGAAATTTTAAAAAATTGTACTAAATTAATCAACTTTATTTAATAGTTTTTTATTTCTTTCTAATATATATTAAAAATTATTGTATTATTTTGTAAAAGAAATTAAAAAAAAAAATTCGAAATAGAACACCAAGAATACAAATAAAAAGTCCTTTCGAGCTTCGGTTAGCTTAGTTGGCTGGCCCTGCTAATCAAAGACAACAGGAAAAGGACACAATTTTAGTGCTCCTCGATTGCCGGTACTCATGCATAGTTTCCCCTTTTCCCACTTTTCCGACCGGCAGACTGGATGGAAAACACTTGCCCCTGCCGCCCGCCATGAATGGCACCCAGTGGGGGCAGGCCACGATGGCCCGCAATCTGGAACGCAACTGTCCCTCGAATAGGCCCTGCTCAAATGTCATCTGCCCGGATCCCTTTGACTGCGTCGACTTGTGGAACGAATACGAGTGCACGTAAGTATACCTTTTTCATTTTCATTTCCTGGCCTTTCCTTTGTGTACGGGTGCATAGTAATTTATTGGAGGTTCGATTTAATTACAGCCCCTTTTGTTTGCCTTTGATGGCAAGCCAGAAGTTGTAATTAAATCGGTGCAAATTTCACTGAAAATAAGTTAATTATTTCTTTGACAATAGGTGATCGAATTTACCTAATTGTTTCACAGATAACTGTGACTTTGTAAATGTAGGTTGCACAATGAAAGGAAACTCTCAGCTACGAACATAACTTCACGTATCCAGACTGCCATTAGAGTAAAAACTGCCTGGAGTGGTACAGAGTCCCTGCCGTTTTCCTGCTGCAGGAAAACCGACAATGCCAAACAGCAAATTGACTGCGAATGCAAAACAAATAATATCAATTGTCATTGCCGGTCTGTCTTTGCTCATGTAAACCAGAGACCGCAGGAATAGAATTCGTCACTCAGAAAAACTTAGGATCAGTATCAGAAAAAAATAGAACCAATGACAACAAATTTATAAATAATAAAAGCAAATGGAAAAATACCTTATTTTAAGAATATGAAGTATAAAATATATTTTATATAAAAAATAAAGTATTTTAAAAATATATTTTAATATTTATAATCCCAATAGTTTAAGCCTATTCCTTGAAAATATTTTCAGAAACTAAATCATTTTGCTAGAAGACTCCAGGTCAGGTTAGAAAACTTAAAAATTATTTCCTTTGTGTTCAAGCGAATTGCTTGAAAAAATGTGTATTTTCCGAGTGTTTGCACATGGTAATATCTACATTTGCCTGGCTGGGCTGGGAGACCGGGAGACTGGGAATCTGGGGCACGACTCCTGATCCTAGAGCTTCTGCTCTGCAACACCTCATCGATGATGGGTCGCAGTGTTGGTGGCAGCGGCAGTTCCCTCGCTCGAGAGCAGAGCACATTTTCCACATCATTAGTTTTGCGGAGTGACTCCATTCGAGAGCCGACGACAGCCAGCAAGGACACCCAATCTGGCACTGCATCATGTCCTGTTCGCTCCTCGGCCCCATCCTCCCGCTCCTTTTGGCGGAGGGATACTAAGCACCCCCAGCTGTGAGCTTCTCGCTCCATTTGCTTTCGGGAACAGAAACATCTGGGCCTGCTGCTTTGAAACACGTGTTCGCCAGGCTCGCCTCCTTGCGGTCCTCTTTCTTTTAAGATAAATTTAAATAGTGGCACACGCCTCGCCTTCAGGTGGCGACGTGTCATAAATTATGCTTACTTTAGCCTCAATTTCGTTGCCAGTTGTGGGCAGCAGTTAACGCAGTGCCTCTGCAGGAATTTGTGTCACTCAGCCAGGACACTAAGATGTCGGACAAGGAGCTGTCCTCAATTGGAATACGAAATGACTTCAATTTAAATGTGCAGAATGTGTGCGAGAGCTAGTTTTTTTTGCCCGCTTTTAAAGCTTTAATTTCCCCATCGCTGGGTTGTCCAGGGATTCTAGCCCAACCGAAACTTCACGCCCTTAATGCGCTTCGGAAAATATTTGAGAGGGGCGCGTAGTTCATGGGGGAATTATTCTATCCCTTGGTTGCACAACTTTGTGTGAAAATAAAAAAGTTTTATTTCGGTAAAAAAAATAAAGAAAATTTAGGAGTACACTTTACAAAAAAGTTTGTGAGGGCAAAAGTAGCAATCAAATTGTGGGATTAAATTTGTTTGTTTTCTAGCTCAGAGAAAATAATGGTTGCGACGCAAATATTTTTTTTACTTGTTTCCCTTTCTGAAAATACATTTTCTTTTTAAATTTACCTTACCAAAATTGATGTTTTTGATTTTTTTTGTTTTTAGAGAGAAATTAGAGAAATGTATATGGTAGCATACATTTCAGACCCATTCATTAAGATCAGATACCATCTTATACTATTTATTATAGAATCTGTCCTGTTTTTGAGTGCAGGGAAAAAGGAATAAGAGAAATCCTTGTGGCAGCAAACATTTCCCTTCCCATTGCAGTAATCGCCTCTGAATTCGTAATAACTCTACCGTCCTCTGATTTTTCGTTTCAGTTGCAGCGAGGGTCGCATCATGTCCTCCGATACGAAGGGATGTGTGGACCGGAATGAGTGCCTGGACCTGCCCTGTCTGAACGGAGCCACCTGCATCAATCTGGAGCCCCGGCTCCGGTATCGATGCATCTGTCCGGAGGGCTATTGGGGCGAAAACTGTGAGCTGGTTCAGGAGGGGCAGCGCCTGAAGCTGAGCATGGGCGCCCTGGGAGCCATATTCGTTTGCCTGATTATCATACTGAGTAAGTCTACAGCGGGCGACCGCAAGTGAAGACGAAACCCCCACCTCACCGTATCGCTAAGCTGCTCCGTGAAATTTTCCATTCATGTGTGACAATTAAGCGGCTTAAGCAGCAACATTTTTGCTTTCCACACGCGAGCTTCCTCCTCTCTGTTTTTCCATGTTAATGCAATTTGCTGGGGAAACCCACCTTCCCCAAAAAAAGCCAAAAAAAATATAGCGACACTGACATGTGTTTGGACAGTCGCGACCGGGTGGGGCTAAAAAAATAAAAGTGGTAAAGGGTTAACATGGGGGGAACACATGCATTTTCAACAACATAAAGTGGCAACAAATCTTGTATTCGTTGCTTTATTTTTGCCACACTTTTTTATGCCCAGACAGGGGCAATTTGTTGGCTTTGCTGAAAAAAAGGAGTAGGAAAATATTTGCATAGCGGCTAATTAAGCTTGGGGAAAAAGTGGAGACTAGTTTTCGTGTTTTCTGAGGAGTATGCTGCGGGAAGAGACACTAGTAATTTAGGGAACATTTTAAGAATTGCAATTTTATATTTATATCAGTGTTGAATTATAAATAAATTATGGTGACCAAGAAAAAATACAAAGGTAGTTTACTCTAAATAAATTAAATAAAATAGCTCATAAAATTATTTAGCAAGCTTACTTTCTTAAACTAGGATTATTTATTCTAAAGTTTAAAGCTTTTATTTTTAGAAAATACAGGACAGCACTTAAGTGAGATTAAAAACTTCAAGGTATTTAAATAGAACAAAATAAATGAAACCCCATCAAATTGATAAAAATTAATTTAACATTTTTGTTTACGTTAGTCAAAGCTAAAAACTAGCTTAGTTCGGCTATTGCCCGCACTGCCTAAGCCAATTAGGACTACTTTACTGCTTGAAAAAATCGCAGAAAATGGAATAAAATTTGCAGCAAAATTTGGAGTACCTAATGGATTTTTCGGACGAGTGTTAAGTGGCTTTGGCCATTTGGTTATTTTTCCCATTCTGCTCTTCCCAGGCCAATGCAAATGCGTTTCCTCGCACGCAATGCGCGACAATCTATTTTCGTTTCGCCAGCTCGTCTGGGATTTGAGAGGATTTTCAATTAGCGCAACATTTTCGCCCCTTTTCCAGATCGGTTTTATATTTGCCTTTCTGTGTGAGTTCCAACCAATTTATTCTGGGCCATATTTAAGAGTAACGCTGATTTATCCGGCCGCTGGGCCAACTTTAATGGGTACTCGAGCCAAAGTTGCAGCTGGGAACAACAACAAAAGGCGGGGCTCTAAGCTAATTAGTCGCTGCTAAGGCAGATAATTACACAGTTGGCTGCGGGCGGAAAAACAAAGACTGGAAGTGGCCATAAAACCGCTAAACCGCAAAATAGGCGCAATAAATAAACGACAAGCCGTCCGTCGGTCCGTCGCACAGAAGTACTTTCATCTCGTCCTTTTTTATGATGTGAAAATATATCTCAGGAACCGAAAAACATAAAATCTGACAGCCGCCGTCTTGTCCTCGGTGTTTGTGTTGATTCGCCGTAAAGTGGCGTAAAGTTTAAGGGCAGGGGCGAAAAGCAAACTAAATAATTATCCAACATTATTTACAGTCAACGCTTTTTCATGTCCTGTCTGTGGAGGTCCTGCCGGCTCCTGGCTGCTCCTGTGTAATCTGTGAATCGCTGAACTGTATTTTAGCATAAAGTTTCAAGTGTCCAAGTGGAGCAACTATACAGACTTGATGAGCTGACCTGGTCAGCAGGTTCAGGCCAGCAACAAGATATTACCCGGGTCCTTGGTCCTGTACAGTTAAGTGCAAACAAAGGCCGTTAAAGAGCTTTCGGTCCGGCTTTTGTTCATCTTACAGGATATTTTGCCTTTGCCTTTGTTTTTGCAAGTTTTTATGTAGGTTAGTTGATGTTCTCCTCTGGCCGTTGTGTAGTTTTTCGGGCTTCTACTTGTTCTTATTTTATTTTCCTGGTCGGAGGTAATGTTGATTAAAGGCTGATGAATGAACAGTTGGCCCTGGCCTGCTTAGCAAAATATTGTGCACTTTATCCCCCAACTGCAGTCTTTAAAATGGCCTTTGATAAAGTATTTTTAGTGCAAATTGAACGAACAGATTGGTGGCCCAAATAATTAAGTTTAGAGCTTTGTTGCATAGTTGGATTTTCGAGCACGTTTCACTGGGAAATTCAATTCATAATTTTTCTCACCCAGAAAATATTTATTTAGCACGTTTTAGCGCTGGCGTGCAATTTATTTGAACTTTTATTTGTTGGCTAGGTCTAGAAAAATTAATGCTAAAAGTTAATGCTAAAAAGTGTTATTTAAAGAATTTTTTTAATGAAATTTTTTCTAGGTACATGTTGTGTGGTGAAACTTTTGTTTTTGATCTACATATGCATATATTAAAGGCTAAAAAATATTGTACCCGTACAAAAAATGATCTGGTGCACTTTCATTTTTCTTATCTTATTTTCTTATTATTTTGACCTCAAAATAATATAATATTAAAAAAAAACCTGATTTATAATCAAACTTTCTGAAAATTTCTTTGATTTGCGAAAGTTTTGAAAACAGATTTGGTTCTCCTCGCTTTTACGACGAATTATCGAAGATTTTAGCTGGTTGTTTTTGGATGGGGCACATTAATAGCAAAACTTGTGCGGCAAGATAATTTAGAAAGTTTGCTCGCTCCTTTCTGCGGCGAGAGACAAATTTAATGCACTTCAAGCCTTGGCCGAGAACTGGTAGTAAACAATTTTCGGTTCAATTCGGTACTCGGTACTCGGTTGTGGCTTTGGGTTTTGTGTCTTGCTGCTGTTGCAACTTTATGCTGTAATTGTTGCATTAAACTTTCCAGCTCCCAAAGACACAGGACAACTCGAACCGGTGTGGGTAGTGGGTGTTTTGGATCCCCCACATTGACAGTCATTTGCCAACTAAGCGGATTACAAGTCGGCCAAAAACATTCACATTCCAAATGCACATTTCGAGTGTCTCCAAATCGTTGTAGCATGAAAACTTGTTAAGTTCTGTGTCCTTTCTGCGTTTGCCGTTTTACTTTAGTTGGCTTAAGTAGCATAAAGTTATTAATAAGTTTCCCTCCACTCAACCACTGCAACATATTCTCGGGAAAGTCCCAGCACAGCCACTCTCCTTCTGTTTGTCGGGTAAACAGGACTTTTACTCGGTGAAAATAAAAAGTACTGCCAAAAGAGAATCTCTCTCGTAGACTTGCATTTTATCATTTGCGCTTCAGTTGACAGGAATATTAACTTGCCTCTGGTACAGTGGGGTTAAGCAAACAGCTAAGTAAAAATAATTAAAACTCTGGCTCGACTTCTTCAAAATGTCAAGCCAGCCAAGGATGTTTCTTATGGATTTCCCACCCTCCTTTTTTTTGGTTTTTAAAGCCCCAGCATTTCTTCTGGGCTAAGCGGATTCATTAGTTGCAATAACTGCCAGCTGACTTTCGTAGAGACAGGCACAAAGTTCATTTATAAGAAAAGAGCATAAAACATTTCTTCACTGGCAAGTTGATTTCTCGTAACTGTTGGCAACTGGACACGGCCTTGGAATCATTATCTTCTTAAATATCAAATGCTTTATTTGTGTTTTTTTTTCACGCCTTGAAGCTTATTGATTTTACCATAGGGAATTTAAAAGGAAAGCTTATATATGTTCAGTTTAGTAAAAATAATAAACATTTAGTGGTGATACTTTTAATTTATTATATCTTTTTTTTCTTAAATTAGTAATTAAAGTCTTTAAAAGTATTTTTACGCCAAGTTTTTGCCTTCTCTCATTTTCCAAGTGTGGGAATGCGAAAGAATAAAAGAAAAACATTTTTCCCTACATTTAATTACCTTCATTAAATGTAAATGGAGTTGTTGTTATGGCTCTGACAGTTAACAGACACCCAACAGACTCCAAGTCTTGCTTTAGGTATTTGTTTCAGCATTTCAGTTTTTTTGTAAAAATATAAAAATAACAGTGGACTTCCGTGGGTAAAAAACAAGTTTTTATAATGAGAACCGGAGAAATATTAAGGGCTATCTTAATAGGTATCATTTAGAGGAATGTCCCACGAAAGAGGAGACAATTTAGACTAACTATGGAAAGAGTAGCAGAGCAATTAAGACATATTTGGATAACTAATTTAATATTGACAACTCAAGGAGGAAAATTCTTGCTCTTTGACAATTAAAAATGGCACTCCCTGATTTTTATTTAAACATTATAATACCAATTAAAATTTGTAATTCCCAGCGGTTTAAATAATAATCTTTGACTTAAAAATGCCTTTCATATTTGAAGAAATATTCGTTCCTTCAAAACACATAATATTTTATTAAAACTATCCATCTACCTCTCAGTTCTCGCCCTGATCTTCGTGATATACAGCCGCAAACGCAAGACGACCAAGAAAAAGAAGCGCTCAGGACCGGAGAAGGATGTCCGGGAGACGGTAATCAGCTACGAGGACGAGGGCGGCGGCGAGGACGACATGACGGCCTTCGACATTACGCCACTGCAAATACCAATCAGCGCCCAGGGAGGACCGCCGGACATCGCCGCCTGCAAGATGCCCATAATCTGTGAGTAAACATGGCAAAGAGCTGGGACATGGCCAAGTAATTGGGCGGTTGTTTGCACTTAGACCCCGTGATGACGCTGCTGCCACCTGGCCAGGAGCTGAACGTGGCCTATCTGATGGAGGAGCGAAAGCAGCGTATCGACAAGGACAACAACGCGCCGCCCTTCGACGACCTGCGGAACTTTACCTTCGAGGGCAGCGGCAGCATCGCCGAGTCGCTGAGCTCGCTGGCCTCCGGTAAGCGTTTAAACTTTTCAAAATCAAAGAAATTCGCCAAAAGCTTAATTTGATATCCCTAAAATAGCAGCTAAATGTATGTAGTCAAATATTTTACCCATGTCATTATCATTATCTTAAAATATATTTAATGTACTAGCATCTTAATTTTTGGCAAGAGATATTTTGAAAATATAGATTTTAAAATTTTTTTGAAATTAAAAATCCTAAAGAGAATTTTATAACGTAAATTTATCTAATCTCTAAATTTAAAAATAATTGTTAATGCTAAAAGGTTTGCATATCTAGCGAATTCGCAATTTAAATAAAATTTTAAATAGAGACTGCAAATTGACCTTGTTACTAAAATTGCCCTGAGCTTAAATTAGAATTCTCTGTTCAATCAAATACCAAAATTTAACCCACACCCACAACATGCTAAGAAATCCTTTAACTCGCTACTCCCCCTTGTCCAATTGCAGGCACTGATGATGAGAATCAAGACTTTAACTATCTACAGAACTGGGGTCCACGTTTCAATGCTCTGGCCGCCATGTACGTGCACGACAAGGCGAAAGCCAAGCAGCTTCCATCGGACGGCGGTGGAGGATCTACGGATGGACCTGGAGCCTCATCATCGTCGCCATCGGGAGGCGGATTCGGAGGAGGAGGAGGTGGTGCCGGGATTGCAGGCGATGTCCTCGCGGTGGTGGCAACCGGTAGTGGGGCAGGTCCTGGAGGCGGTGGTTGTAACAGTGGGCTAATGGTACTGCCCGATGTCGACAAAGTTGTATTATAAAAATAAATAGTTAAGTTGTAGTTAAAACGATGTTTCAGCTGTAAGCACGATGGAAGGGGTAAACCCCTTAACCGAAACAGGTGTTTTGTGTATTCATGTGTGTGGTTAGGGTTAATTGTATGTACATGTGGCTAACTGTGGAATTTAAGACTTAATTTAGGTTTTAGGTGTTTTCTCACATATAAGATATTGAGGGTCTTAAATAAAGATTGGGCTATTATTGAAGAACAGACCCTTATTTCGCTAGTTGTTATATCTGCCATCTAAAATATATGATTATGTTTAAGGGAAAAATTACATTTTCACATTTGTTAAATTTTCTGTTAAATGTTATTGCCTTTAACATATCTGAACTGTTTTACTGTTGATTAAAAATACTTTAGAAATTGTAGCTGAAATATATTTTTCCTCTAACGTCTACTTTCCCAAGCCACTTTCTTTCACACTATTTTCTTTTTTTCAAATCTCGTCTTCTCGCTGATATTCAACTGAACCAACTGAGAAATCAATGAATAAAATTATATGAGTATATTAAGCATACTACGAAACAATGAAAAAGAGTTTATAAAACTTGCTACATATTAGTTAAAGACCCTGTATAAATACGGCGTTAGCTCTCTAGCACGTAAGTTGACCGAACTAAACCGAAATTTTGCCCATCCTCTCAGAAAATGTTGAGCGTTGCAACTTTTGTGTGCCACCGACAGGGGAACGTGTCCGATTGCCACCGACCAGGTAGCACCTGAAACGCCAAAAACCCTGGGCTTGGTGGGAAAACCAACGCTGAAAGCTGCCACCGAACCCACGCAGCCACAAAAGTTTTCAGAGCAAAAGTAGAAATTTAATAAGGGAAAAATCATAACCAACTTTGGTGAAAATTAAAGGTAAATGAGGGAAACTCTACTGTAACATAATTTTGTACATATTAAATTCTGTAATTCTACAATTAAATTAATGGCTATTATAGCGAAGAAATGAAAACAAAACAACTAATAGACTAATTAACTACAATTAAACCTACAATTAAAGACCGAAAAAACAGAAGCCGAAACCAAATACGAGTGTTGATCAAACCAATTTCATATTTCTGCATTTACTAGCAACTACACAACCAGTACAGAAAATGAAAGTATCAATAATAATATTGTAATATCTATTGAATTATGAGTCATACACGAAAACAATGGTTAATTACATTTACGTTAGTTAATGGACAATTTGTTAGTAGTTAGCATCTAAGCATAATTTTTTAAAAATCAATAAAGCCCAAAAAAAGAAAAAATAACAAAATTCCATAAAAGGTAATTTCCATGCCAATATGCCCTGTATTTCTTCGTACGATTTCTGGATGTCAGCCAATCCGGCAATCCGCTTGTTGACACTGCCTAATGATCCTTGGTGCCTCCACTTCCGGGCCAGACATTGCGGCATTTGGCGCCCTAAACGAGCCGTTGATTCCCGGCAAAGGTGTCCAAATGGAAGCCGCAGAAAGGAAGCCACTTTCGGCTCCTCCTCCTAAGCGAAAAGTTCAACGGAGCGTTTGACAGGGCAACATGCATTGCCTCTTACAGAAACCAGAGACTGTCAGCCGACTGGATGAACTCTGTTCTAGGCCGTAAAAAACGCTGAGCAGTGACCTTTGAAATTTTTCGGTTCAGGTTGCCGCTTTTTACCCCACTTTCTCTGTGGATTTACCAGGGGGAAAACATTTTACAGCGCATAATAAATGAGCCTGGCTGGGCTATCGATATGAAATATGGTCACCAGCCGTCAATTTATCCTTACTCCTCTGGTTATCCCACTTAACTTCTCTTTATGGGTAGGATAAATTGATGGCTTATATTGACAGTAAATAATTCGGTTAAAGTAAGTTAAAAATCATGTTATACTCACTAGGAAAATGTTTTCGTTCTTTGCCTAAAGGTTAAACAAGCTTTGAGTGTTTTAGAATCAGCACAATGTCCAACATGCCAATTAAATCTCTCCTCTACCGCAAATAATATTTAAATCGCAAGTGAGACACAAATCGGTACTCAATAGCTCAGATGCAAGGTTGTAAACATCCTGGAATCGCCCTAATTAGCTGCATTAACACCATGATTGGCAAGTGGAAGAAGCTGCCCAAGGCAGCTGCAGTAAACCAACATAGACACACAAATCGGACTTATAAATGTAAGCACAAGATACTGGCTGATTTGTGTAAAGTTTAAATCACAATTGCAGCAAACTCACCCAGATACAAACACTCAAATATTTCAAAATCAATAGAAAAACGGAGGAACAAAGGCTGGAGAGTACTATTCGCCTAAGCTGCAGGAGACATCAATGACACCATGATTTTAATTGCCAATCAGCAAAGTACCTAATTATCAAAGGAAAATTTTTTTCAGGAGCTAGTATTGAATAATGCTAATATGTTAATCAGTGCATTCTCTACTGAATTCACTGTAGGGACTAAGATAATGTCGGCAGAAAACGTTGCTATAGAATTCTTAATCAACAAAAAAATAAAAAACTTGAAACGAGAAAACAAGAAGGTTTTAAATTGTGGAGTCTTTTTTTTTAAAGAAGTCTACACAGAGAAAATTATCAAAAATTGTAGGTGCAAAATAATGGGTGAAACATTTTAAAAAGTAAAACGTTTCATAAAAATTTATTTTACTCTGCATTTTTAAAACGTTTTCATTTTTATTTTCAAAACGTTTTTATATAAAAACGGAACCTAAAACGTTGCATAATTTTCCCTGTGTATAACCAAAAAAGTTGTCGGTACTTATTTTGTAACTTGTTATTTTTAGTCAAATATATTTCCAATAATTTTTAAACTCAATTGAGTAATACATATTTATGCTAATATTTGGAAAATGTAGCGAGACGGAAGCACAGCTGCATTATTTGTATCCAAATTGTATGCTAATTACACAGATTTTCGCCTGATTTGCCGCATGAACTTGCATTTTCCTCGCTGGACAGAATAAATTATTAATAAAAATCATGCAATTTGCTTAATTATTTTTGCCCCCGATTCGTTTCGCAGGATTCGTCTAAAAATATTTGTGGATTACCTTTTAGCCCACGAACTGCCGAACTCCTCTTGCGGCATCCCCTTTGTTTTGCATTTGGAAATTTCCATTTCCATTCGCTGACCATTACTTAACGAAAATAGCCAGGCTAATGTGCCGGGATGTTGTTATTATTTTTAATTGAATTTTGGTCGAGCGGGAGGCATGTGAAGTTTGGACTTAGAACGAATGCATTAAAGGTATTTACCTCGTCATTTGGCCAGGAAAAATGGCCGGCGAAAATGCGCAAAACAGTATAATGGAGCTCACCAAATTAATATTCGTTGAAATGCAGAAATAAATAATCACATTACCATCAAGCTCAATTACATATTGGAATATTTATTGTGTGAATGGGAAATGAAAAGGCGATGAACAAATGATCAAATGAATGCCTAGCAAAGTAAGGGAAGAGACGAAAAATGAAAAGTAATATCTAATATCTATGGGAATCGTTAGTGGGCGATTGTGGGCGATAGACGGGCCTGGCGCTCGGCTGAAATAAACTTGAACTGCGTAGGAAGCCCAAGAACATGTGTGAAAAATCTGAAACTTCTAGCTTTTGTACTTTCCGAGATCTCAGCATTTATACAGACAGACAGACAGACAGACGGACATGGCTAGATCGACTCGGCTAGTGACCCTGCTCAAGAATATATATACTTCATGGGGTCGGAAACGCTTCCTTCTAGCTGCTACATACTTTTGCACGAATACAATGTACCCTTTTACTCTACGAGTAACGGGTAAAAAAATTTGGAAAACACCGATGTTTCAATTGATGTTTTATTCGATGTTTTTTGAAAAACATCGAGTCTGCAAACATCGATGTTTCTGCGCCTCTATTTTGTATAGGCAACTAGATTTGGGCAAAAGTGGGGTCCTTTTATGGTCTTTGGTATTTGTGGCTATTTTATTGTATATTTCGGTATATTTTGTATTCTTTTTCTATCGTTGAATGTCCATCCCTAGTAAAATTGAACAAAAGAACAACAAACACTGGCTGTAATATTCTGATACTTGGAGTTAGCCCAGTGAAACCACCTTCTTTAAGCCTAGTACTCAGTTCGGCTAAGAGTTTTACTAGTCGAAAAATATTAATATTTTAGGGTGACCGAAGTTTTCGGAGTTCAACCGCAATGCATGTAGAATGGTCTTACTCTCAGCAAGCAAATTAACTGGCGCCAATTTTGAAATATTACAAAATGATTAGCCGACCTAGGTCGCAAGCTTTAAATTTGCTGTTGGAATGAGGATATATATTGCTGCAACTCCTACAGGCAGTTTTCCATTGGTTTTTGGGGTTTTCATTCTATTATTATTGGCACACCGCTTCTGCACAAACACAGCCAAAGATCAAATTTTTTATTCTTTGGGCCGCGGCTAAAGGCGTTCATCAGAATTCATCCGCTAAATCTAGTATTTTAGTGGTATTTTCTTACTATTTCCTTAGCTCAACTGAGTACCGAGGTGGGAAAAAGTCCCCGGCTAAGGGCTTTAGCTACCTATTTGCCTCTCGCTTACTCCTATGCTTAGCTAGCAGTTTTCGTCGTACTGAGTACTAGGCTTTAGAGTAATCGGTCACTCAATAGCTTACCCCACATAGTGTGACTAGACTATAACACTCAAACTAATGTTCAAAAAGGCTAGATCTGTCCGGAAAAAGGACAAAATGGTGTTGGTAAAATACGTGGTGTTGGATAGTGCTGGTAAATATGGCCGCTCTATATTAACGGTTAATCGACTATCAGTTAACGGTCTATCGAGTTTCTCTCACCTATTTTATGTCTTGCCGGCTATAAAAGGCCTTGCAGGGACAGAATTTCTTCACTTTAAATTTGATTCTCAAGCGGAACATCAAACATCATACATCTTACAATCATGGAAAATTTAAGCCAACATCGCGATGCGGTTATTGGGAAAAATTGTCAGCCGGCTTCATCGTCATCCAAAGAAGATGTCCGGAGGTCCCAGGTCGGCCGATCCCGCACACGTACGCGGGAGTCTAAGGCCGAGCGTAGTGAACTGCACGCGACGCCCGCAGATCTCCGGAGGAGGGGGCCATCGGAGAGAGAGGAGAACAGTTCCCAGGTTGGCGATAGAGTGCTTGAATAGAGGCTAACTCCTGGATGAAGCCGACTGACTATTTTCCCCAATAACCGCATTTTACCCATTTGCCCTACTCGATATAGACATCTGCATAAAAGGTGCTCATGAAGCTAAGAAGCTTCCCCCTGACAGACCAACAAACGGAGATGACAAGATCGACTCGGCTAGTGCTTCTGATTAAGAATGATCTCAACTTTCCAGAACCAGAAAAGTCTCATAGAACTATAATACTCAAATGCATTTTTTTTTCGTTTGACCTATCATTCTTATGGTTTTAAAAAATCTCAGTCACTGCATTGCGAACTTATCACAAAATTTAAAAAAAAAACTCGGAACAAAATCATTTATAATTTTAGAAAGTAGTTATAGATTCTTTAAGATTTATTTTTCATGCTTATAAACAGACTTCAAATCGATTATTTATTCATTAATTAAAAACGGTAAGGTCTTTGGGATCAAAAAATCAACTAACTTTTCATTCAAACCTTTTCGATATTATTGAGTGCCATCTAAATAACATCCACAAATGTTTATAGAAAAAGTTTTCTTAGTTTAGTTTAAACTTAGTTTTAACCGTTCAAAATCAAAAAGTATTTTTTTGTAGACAAATTTTTTAGCCTAATTATTAAAGGTTTTGTCTAATTGACTTTTTTTTGTATAATCTTTGATATTTATTTATTTGTATATTTGAAGAAATGTGTGTAGGTGTATAGGTATCTTACTTGTAACGCGCAACTGCTAAAATGCACATTTGATGTCGATTTAAAAAAATGTATATATGCTTTAAATTTAGGATGTTGCATGTTATTCATTGAACATCATAATTTTTTAGAAAACATTAAAATATATTTTTATAATTAAGTAGCAAGAAGTTATTGTCCCACGTTGAAATTGGTATGAATTTCATTCTTATACCAATATTCATTTCTCTTATTAATTTCACCTAAATGGAAACAGTCGTTCTTCTGGAAATCATTAAGAACGCAAACTGTTTGTGTAACATTATTGAAAGTATAACAACGAACAAATGAGTTTATTTTTTAAAGTGTTTTTATATTTTCGAATGTAAAATTATTTTTCGCCACAAAATATGATATCAGA